GTTTGTTTGTTTGTGGGACAGAGGAGAACACGACCGCATCACAGCAGAGTGTGCTGCCCATATCATAAATCAATTCTATTCAATCAAATCTTCTGCGCCGCCTCCGCTCTGCTTGCGCATCCAGTGTGAAACCAGTGTAAGGCGCGAATTCTACACAGCATTTTGCGCAGTTAAAGGGCACCACAGAAAGGTGACAGGACAAAAAAAATATGCTTTTTTTATTTATTTATTTGCAGGCACAAGTGTTTGAACATTTAGCGACTGCCCCACATACAACATTACTTCTATACTACCACTTAAAAAGTACAGTGGCATCGCCAGTATTTTGGAGCCTTGGTATTGCGATACTATTGTAGTAAATGTAAACCGTGCAACCCTAATTTACACTACTGGTCAAAAGTTTGGATTCATTCGGATTTTTAATGTTTTTGAAAAGTCTTTTCTGCTTACCAAGGCTGCATTTATTTGATCAAAAACCACAGTAAAACAGTACTATTGTGAAATATTATTTCAATTTAAAATAGCTGTTTTCCATTTGAATATATTTTAAAATATATTTTTTTCCAGTGATCAAAGCTGAATTTTCAGCATCATTACTCCAGTCTTCAGAGTCACATGATCTTCAGAAATCATTCTTAAATGCTGATTTGCCGCTCAAACATTTTTGGAGTGTTTCCCAAAAGCATCGTTAGCTAACTATGTTCGCAAGTTCCATTGAACTCTATTGGTAACATCAGAACTTGTGACCATAGTTGCTTTTGGGAAACGCACCCCTGATTATTATCAGGGTTTTAAACAGTTGTGCTGCCAAATGTTTTTTTGTGAAAATTGAGATAAACTACCATTCAAGAAAGAAATTAACACTTTTATTCAACAAGCACAAAAGTGACGGTGAAGACATCTGTTTTAAAAGAGTTCAAATAAATACTGTTAATTTCCATTCATCAAAGAATCCATAAAAAAATGTATAATTTTCGAAAAAAAATTTGCCGTAAACATTTTTTTGAACATTGACACTAATTAACATTAACACAACTGATAATAACGGAGCAGCAAATCGGCATATTAGAATGATTTAAAAATATATTAATTTAGAAAACCGTTATTTTGAATTGTAATAATATTTCACAATATTGCTTTTACTGTATTTCTTATATAAACTCTGAATTATTCCAAACTTTCGACCGGTAGTGTACATCATTGACATCTTCAGTCACTGCTGCTTTGATTGATTAGAATAACACATTTTTCTGGTTTTGAGATAAAAATCCATTGATTTGAGCGACACGATATGTAAATTCTAAATTGGGCGAGCTGTTCCTTTAGCTCTTTTTGGTGCTTGTTTGAGTCAGTATGAGGATGTTTGCTTCAGGCTTTTTTCAGCTAAAGAGAATGACAATAGGCAATTATAGCACTAATAGATAATATCATTCAAGTGTGCACAATGCTTTCAGGGGGCTGAAGAACTGGAAGTGCACTTTTCATTAACAATCGCTGCTTACCAGAATAAAAACAAAAACTAGTAAACATTCAGTGAGTAAGCAGTAACATGAATAGCTAGACTATTATCCTGACAGAGCAGCATGTTATGATGGCTTTATTCTTTTTTTATTTTTCTGTGCAGATATGAGCAGTCATTGTTTTTCAGGTTTCGGGGAATCACAGAATATTGATGGGTTTTACTTGTCGTTTGCTTCGGATTTACTCTTCTGAAAGAAATCATCTAGTTACTCATCCAGACGTTTGAATAAATGTTCAATTAGTCCTGTCTGCTCATACACACTGACAGTTGATGGATTTCAGGTGATTTAATAGTATTTAATTATCCATTTATTTTATTGTTGGGGTTTTTTAAGAGGAGTGTGGGTTACAAAACCAAAGGGTTGTTGATTTATGCATAATCTTCACCATTGTGTCCTTGGAAAAACATTTTTAATAAAACATGTCTCTTATAGTCGTGGAGTGATGCTATTTCTTACCATATTCAATTTATCAAGAGAAAAAAATAAATCTAGCAATCTACCCCTAAATGAAATGTATATTAATTCTATGCAGCAAAATATGCGTTTATATGTTTCCAAATGCATATGTTATGATTTGGGACTTTGAAAAAAAAAATGCATAAAAGATGTTCCTTTTTAATGGATTTTATCTTTAAATATTTTTTCTAGGCTTATTGACTCGTGTAGGTAAAAAAATACCACTGTAAATAAATTTCAAGGGCCAAAAATTGCCCCTTAATTAATAAAAAAATAAAATAAAAAAATCCCAATGCATTAAATATTTTCTGGGTTTTAAGAGTTAACACACTGTTATCTTTGTAGTGATTATTAAGTGCATTTACGTACTATAGTATATACTATTCAGTATTTTAATTAACAAGACATCAGTGATGTACTCCTAATATATCTTATGTAATTTATTAATATATGTTTTTACAAATATATCATAACTAATTTGTGCAAAAAATAACATTATAGGGCCCACAGACTAACATCTACATACTAGAACTAGCCGAGCCGATGGATTTTCCGATCTTTGCCGATGTTGCACGAGTCCCTGCCGTGTGCTGCATCGGAAGTATCGCGGCGAACGTTCCGAGCTAATAATTATTTTTCGTGCAACATGAAACGGTTCTTCCTCAAGAGAGGAAGACAGAGGTTTCTGTTTTTGGAGACATTTTCAAGTCGTGCCTGTGACAGTAGTGCAAATCCGCCACAGTATTTTTTAGAAACGGACCCAGCCGTATCTTTTAAACATAAGCGATACGTGTCAATACCTTTTTTTAACAGTGCTAATTTATATTACACTTAATGATGACAAGAGAACAACTTTAATAGCCATTACATTGTAAAATACACAGTGAATCGTCAAAAATAACAAATACCCCCAATTTATAACTTCTATTTCTTTCTCATTGCCGCTCTGCGGAGGCGTGTCGGAAAAGTTCGCGAAGTTTCCCGAACGCACCTCGTGAGTTTCCGGCGGAGGAAAGATCCAGTGCCAGACATCGAAGCCGAGCGTAGTGCAATATAATAAAAATAGACAGTTTTTACAGGTTGTGAATACTTGATGTCTGTATTGTGTTCTAATAAAGGCTGCGGGCAGCGGTTTGATCCAGAAAGTAATCCTGAAGGTGAGTGTTTGTTACGGGTCTCGATTCATGAAGTTCATTCATAATCTAAAGTGCTGTTTATTCATTTGTATATCGCGCTATTTAAATCATCCGAAAGCTGAATAAATAAGCTTTAAATTGATGTAAGGTTTGTTAGGATAGGACAATATTTGGCCGAGATACAACAATTTGAAAATCTGGAATCTGAGGGTGCAAAAAAATCTAAATATTGAGAAAATCATCTTTAAAGTTGTCCAAATGAAGTTCTTAGTGATGCATATTACTAATCAAAAATTAAGTTTTGATATAGTTATGGTAGGAAATTTACAAAATATCTTCATGGAACATGATCTTTACTTAATATCCTAATGATTTTTGGCAAATCAATAATTTTGACCCATTCAATGTATTTTTGGCTATTAATACAAATATACCCCAGCGACTTAAGACTGCTTTTGTGGTTAAAATGTGTGTGTGTGTGTGTGTGTGTGTGTGTGTGTATATATATATATATATATATATATATAAATGAAAATTATAAACGTTGAAGCACTAAAATTAGTAAACTAAAACTGAAATTAAAATAACAAAAACTAATACAAATTACAAGGAAAAAAAAACAATACTAAAATTAAAATGAAAACTGAAAATAAAAGCTGATCTAAAATTTGAATAAAAACTATAATAGTATATAAATGATACAAAAACAACACTGGTAGACCATATAAATTGTTCCCATATAAGAATTTATTAGTAAATCTGACATTTTAATTCATAAATGTGTTTTTTAATGGATGAGTTGAAGTGGATAGTGAAGAAAAAGTAAATATATTTAACTTATAATACGTTTAAAAAATGTGGCAAACAGTTATAAAGAACGATAATAAATATAGGATTTATGCTTTCTGGTCTATGATTTATTGTGTAAATTGCAGCCTTTAGATGGCGCTCCAGCATAAACGAGAAAAGCACCTGTGCGCACATTAGATATGCTTTCGTCCCTGTAACTGAGGCACATGACAAAACATAGTTAATGATTCTGACATGTATTTAGCCAATTTTATTGATTCATGATCTTGTCGGTTGATAGGTAATTGACATCAGTAAGAGTGTTGTTAACATGATGGTCCCCAAAGTGGAGGTAGTCATGAAGAAGGCGGAGCCTATGGCCTGGGCCCGCCTGGGCCCGCTGGACCTGCCGCCTCCAAAGCCTCAACCGACCAATGAGAAGACAGAGAATCACGACGAGAGAAAGTGAGTGCTAAAGCAGTGTTTCTCAACCAGGGGTCCTTGGACCCCTACTGGTCCTTGACGTAAGGCCAGGGGGTCCGTATAAAGTATGAATTTTTGCATAAATTTTGTACATTTTGACATGACATGTTCCCATGAAAGAAAAATCCAATATAGCTGATGATATGGCAAAATACTGGACAAGTCAGCTAACTTGAATTATACTTGACTGCATTTGGTCCTCACAAAAACACAAATGATACATAGATGAGTCAATGTTGTTCTGGGGGTCCTTGAGTCAAGTCAAGTCAAGTCACAGATTCATGTGTACTTATGGGTACACAGAGCAGTTGAAATAAATCAGGCTGAATTGAGGATGGTTCTGAATTGGACTGGGGTCTGGTACGCCAAAAGGTTGAGATTCACTGTGCTAAAGCACTCTGACTCTGACTCTCACAGACAGCAGTGATCAGATGATGCGGACGTCAATGAAACCTGCAGGTCTAGGAAACGAAATGAGATTATTTTATTTATTTAATTGGAGTTCATAAAAATCATATCATGTGAATTCATGTCGGATGAGCATGAGACTATTTAATTTGACGTTAATGAAATGCCTAATGAGGGATAGGAGTGCATTTAAACAATCCTACATTATTATTATTACATAATCAGTGGTAAAAATATAGTAAATATCAAACAGATGCATAGATACCCAACTAATTTTATTTTCAAGTGTTGAAGCTGAGGCCATTTGATTCATTTTTATATGACATCACAGGGCTTAACTTGTAATTGCTATTTTAATCATTTAGTTTCAACAAAAATAATTTAGTTTTCTGCATATTTTTGTCCACTGTACATATGCAGAAATGCATTTTTCATTGGGTGAACAATTAATAACCACAACAATCTCTCACAGCCTTGTTTTCAAAGGTGTCAGAGATTCAATACGGCATCAATTCCTACTGAAGTCTGTTTCTTAAAAGGTTCCACTGAATTATTAACTGTCAGTAGGGCAATAAAACCGATTTGGTCAAGCAATTCTAATGTAAACATTTAAGTTAGATATAATTTCTGTGTGCTTTATGTAAAGTACCATCATTATTCAGAATTTACTGTCTTGCTGTCTGTAATTTGGTTAATTCCTCTAGTACACGAGTGCTGTCATTATCTAGACAAACGGATATACTTTTTTTGTTGACTTTTTCCATTCCACCTGGTTGTCTGATGATTCACAGCCTTCTGAAATCTCATCATTTCAGTTTCTTGTCATGCACTTTCACTTACAATTTCAGTCCTGTCGTGGGCTGGAAACTTCCGTCTGAATGTAGAGAAGAGAAAGTAAACCATCCATGAAAACATGCTGCGTAGACTTACTCAGGTTTGGTTCAAATCCAACTAGAAAAAAGTGCAGTAAATCACTGAAAACTAGCGTGAAACATCAGTGTTTATTTGTATCTGATGAATTGATCTTTTATGACACTGTCTCATGTTACTGTAAACATGAAACGACTATACTGTACTCTCAGATTTGTCTTTCTGTCAGATCATTTGATTTAACTTCAGGTAATTGTACTTAATCTTTCCTAAAAAGCATGCATTTTACATGACAGTTTACATGAGAATGGTTTTACAACTTTAAAATGAATGAAATTTTTTCGTTCAACCAGTTTTATTCAGTGTTCGTGGTTTTACAAATTTTTCCATGATGACAATATATGCAAAAATTTATTTGCAAACAGTTCGCTCCAATGCCACAATTTATGCAAGTGACAGGTCAAACTGTTGCTTTCATGATTAACAGTAATTCATTCTGCTTGTTTCACAAATGATCAGACATTGCAAAGAAATTGTATTAAATACAACACTGTAAAATTTGGTTATGGTTCAGGATTGCTAACTGTAACATTGAATTAAGTCCTAAATTGTGTACTAAATTATTAATGACATCCCTGCAAATCTCTTTGGATGAAAGACATCTGCTTAGTGGAATAATTCACCCCAAAAATGAGACTTTGCTGAAAATGTATTCGCCCTCAGGTCATCCAAGATTAGGATGAGTTTGTTTCTTCATCAGATTTGGAGAAATGTAGCATTGCATGACTTGCTCACCAATGGATCCTCCGCAGTGAATGGGTGCTGTCAGTGACAGTTTGAAGTTAAAACGCCTTATTAATAAATTTGTTTCTTACAAACACGCAGCTTTTGTCTTCTCCAGATGTTAACTGATGGACTGGAGTGCTGTGGGTTACTTGTGGATTATTGTGATGTTTTTATCAGCTGTTTGGACTCTCATTCTGACGGCACCCATTCACTGCAGAGCATCCATTGCTGAGCAAGTGATGCAATGCTACATTTCTACAAGAAACAAACTCATCAACATCTTGGATGGCCTGAGGGTGAGGACACTTTCAGCAAATTGTAATTTTTGGGTGAACTATTCCTTGAATATCAAAAATGTATCTGCTCGCTTCTGAGAGCCAGATCTGAATGTCAAGTCCTTTGTAGTTGCTGTGTTTGAGGAAACACTGACATATTAACTAACTATTTTGCTGACATGTTGTAGTCCTGTATATCCATGGCATGTTTTGAAATCCAGAAGTAAAGGAAGGCTGTCTAGAAAGGCTTTAGTGTCTCGGCAGCGGCGTTGACAGTAAAGGCGGCGATGCTGATTTGGCGTTTGACCTCGTCCCAGGCCTTCTGCGGGTCCACCGCGTTCTCAATGTCAAACAAAGCATCATAAATCCCTGGGAAAGACTCACCCGCGTATTTATTATGACTGCTGGGCGCAAAAATAATATGCCTGGAAGAGACAAGAGAGAAAAAGACAAACATCTTATCACACACATTTAGTACTTAAAGTGATCTCAAACAGCCGAGTGGTTATTATTGTCGTAATGGAAGTACAGCTAACGTAAATATGGCATTTAACAGAGAAGAAGTGTTCCTTTGAGCTCTAATACTGCAAAACGTGTGGTTAATGCAAGCGCAGTTTCTCATTTAAACAAACCACTGATCTCAAGCATTAAACTTGAGTGTGTAACTCATCTGTCTCAAGCAAATTGTCTTATTTTTGCCTGACAAATGATACAATTACTGAACAAAGTCCCATAGATGTACAGTATCGTTCAAAAGTTTGGGGTCAGTAAATAAAGAAATTAATACTTTATTCATCAAAGATGCATCAAAAATAATAGGAAAGGTATTTATAATATTACAAAGAGATTTCTATTTCAAATAAATGCTGAGCTTTTGAACTTTCTAGTCATCAAAGAATCCTGAAAATTAAATGTATCACAGTTTTCAGCATTGACAATCCAGTCAGCGGTGAGTAATCCCAAACCAATGGCGCTGTCTCAAACTATACCTACCTTTTCCGGTTTTTCGGATTTGTCGTTGTGTTTTCTGACTTGTTATTTTGTTTTCGAATTTGTCATTGTGTTTGCTGAATTGTTGTTGTGCTTTCTGAATTGTTATTTAGTTTTTTAGACTTGCATTTGCGTTTGTAATTTGTTATTTTGTTTTCAGAATTGTGATTTGTTTAGCACTTCTCGGCCACCGTAAAAAACAGATTCAAACCTAGTTTGAAACCCTAGTGTCATTCGTACTTAGAGGTGTCGAGCTGATCAAGTCGCTGATGAAAATCTCCTGCCAAAGCCGCGAAGTTCTCAACCACAGAGAAGAGAGAATCTAGAACATAAACCATAAAGAAAGATGCTGACTGACAGCACACAAGATAAGTCAAGAGCTTTGCATCTGGAATGAAAACAGACATAGGTTATAATCTCATTAGAAGAGTTCTGCTGCATCCCGATTCTCATACTTTTACCCTACACACTAAAAAATAAATGAAATGTAGCATTGCATCACTTGCTCACCAATGGATCCTCTGCAGTGAATGGGTGCCGTCAGAATGCCGTTAAAACGCATTATTAATACATTTGTTTCTTACAAACGCACAGCTTTTGTCTTCTCCAGATGTTAACTGATGGACTGGAGTGCTGTGGATTACTTGTGGATTATTGTGATGTTTTTATCAGCTGTTTGGACTCTCATTCTGACGGCACCCATTCACTGTACACTAAAAAATAAAAGTACTTAAAGGCACAATATGTCATTTTCACCGCTGGAGGGTATTCAAAATAAACAAAGAGGCAAAGGCGTAGTTTGATGACGCTGTGACTGAGTGTGGAATCATGGGAGTTGTGGTCTTCATTCCCACAACCGATGCAATCCGACGGGACTTGGGCAGAAATCATGTTCATGGATGAGCTAATGATTTATTAACGTAGCAGAATGAAGCAGGGTGAGGCTGAAAGCCGTCGAAGCGAAACGAGGCCGCTGAATGAGCGTGATACACGGCTCGAAAGCAGTGGAGCTTTTATTATGCCACAGTCGACCGCTTCCGCTCCTTCCGGTCGTGCGTATGTGGGGTAAAGCAGCGCTGTTTTATCATACTAGATACATTTGAAAGTTCTGTTATAATGCTACTCTGTGCGGTCGTCACCGGTCTATTAAAACACACAACATATTAAAGCGTCCTTGGTGTTTCCATGTTTTCTACAAAATAAAATGGAAATCGAGGTGTTATGACGTCATTTGGCAGGCGATACAATGACACTATGGACACACTCCGTGTCACTAGTTAAAATTACTTATTTCTCTGGATTTAAACATTCTTCGAAATATTGGGGATAATGTAAGTACACAAGTCAGCAAAATATATAACACTGTTCTAGTGGTTTTTGGATATTTTAATCAAAAAAAATCTTACATATTGTGCCTTTAATTGAAGAACCATTTTTAATGCACAAAAGGTTCTTTATACTGGAAAATGGTAATTTAGAATATAAAAAAATGGTTCTTCTAAGAAGGTTCTTTGGGAAACCTGAAATGATCCTTCTGTGGAGTCACCCACTTTTGGAACCTTTATTTTTAAGTGTATGGAACACTATTTTTAAAAAAAGTGAAAGTGATGTGGCCAAGTATGGTGACCCATACTAGGAATCAGTGCTCTGCATTTAACCCATCCAAAGTGCACACACACAGCAGTGAACACACACACCCGGAGCAGTGGGCAGCCATTTTTTGCTGCGGCGCCCAGGGAGCAGTTGGGGGTTCAGTGCCTTGCTCAAGGGCACCTCAGTCGTGGTATTGAAGGTGGGAGAGAGCGCTGTACATTCACTCCCCCCACCTGCAATCCCTGCTGGTACGAGACTCGAACCCACAACCTTTGGGTTATGAGTCCGACTCTCTAACCATTAGGCCACGACTTCCCCCAAACTGAACTGAACTTTTAAGTGAACATTCTGATTTTGCATACTAAATGGATGGATTGTATCCAGTGTGCCGCACACGTCCTGAAAAGTGAAGCCAAAACATTTCGATCTCCATCTGGTGTCTGGCTGCAGTAGCGGTCATAAACCCCACCCCGTCCATGTCCCATCTAATGGAACATGAGTCAAACTAAAACTAATGATCACTGAATCATCAATGAACTGACTTTAGCTGGACAAAATGACTCTTTGTGATTGTCTTCTTGCATTATTGACTAACTATTATCCTGTTTTACACTGTAAAGCTGCTTTGACACGACCAGTATTGTATAAAGCGCTATACAAATAAAGGTGACTTGACAAAATTTTTCCAAACATGGTTTCCATCATTTTAGGTAGTTCTTTTCATGCTGGTGTATGTTCAAGTGTTCGTTTTTCTAATAAGTTTGCTTTTAGTTTGATGCTATAAAAACGCGGTGTGGTGTCATGATTGTGAGCTTGTGTTTGGGCGGGACTTTGATACCGCGGCTCCACCTCACGATCACTACTGCGCAAACTATGGCTCCAAATGAGGTCGTTTTTGCAAGATGACAGTGGCCATACTGAGATATTTTGGCTTCACTTTTGTATAGTGGAAGGAATTGGAGACGCATCGTCCATCTTTTTTTCCAGTCTACGGAGAGTATGTGTACCGAATGAGACGCTGTGCTGCTCCATGGCAGCAGGGTGCTTCACTGCCAGCTGGTAAATGCTGTTGGTGTATTTAGTGAGAGACATGGTGTATTCCACACAGTCCAGAGGTAAGACCGGAGAATCGGCCAAACTGAAGATCAGTCCACCCCGAACACGGGCCACGGCCTCCAGCCTGCGGAAACTCGGGTCGTAGAATCGCTCCACGATCTCGTAGGTCTCATACACACTGTGGTACACGGGGTAACTGCTGTAGCGCTCGGTTTTCTTATGAAAGAGGGTGGACAACAGTTGTTAGCTCAATTTAAAAACTTTGTAACGTCTTTTTTTGCTTTGCATAGATGCAAGTCTAAATTACTCAAACACACTCACTCGGTTTTTGGTGTATCTCGCCCTTCCAGATGCAATGCCTAATCTGATGAAATACGCTTCAAAATCACTACCAGAGCCCAGTTTACTGATCCTACAGGGAGATCAAACACACACACACACACGTTTCTTAGCCATGTCATGTATCTGTAATCAGTCAGTTCTTATAGATGATTATGATCGTCATCATCCCAAAGCTGCTCTTCATTACCACGGTGCATCTCTTTCTGTGGAGTTGTCTCGTTTATGCCAGCTCTGATACAAACTCATGCCCTCCTCTCCCTCCTCTGGACTCGAAACCTTCAGAAACACACTATTAACATCACTTGCATTCATATAGTGGGATGGATGGATAGATAGAATCTCACCTTCTTGGTGATGTCATAAACCAGAGTGTGAAGAGAGGGAGTGCAGTCGACTCTCAGTGTGTACATACCTCCACACACACACACACACACACACACACACACACACACACACACACATATAGTATCTAAACAAGAGACCTGAATACTTACAGATGAGATCAATGCTGATTTTACAGCACAGAGGTACTCATAATGGTCTCTGTGTGTTTGTGTGTGTGTGTGAGAGACTGACCCTCAATAGCAGAGTCTGCATTGATGTAAGCCACGGCTCGCTCCTGTAGGACTCTAGCATTATCCTGCAAACACACACGGGCAACAACATGCTGAGATATTGATTACAGATATTCATTCATTCAGTCAATCAATGAAACAGTCATTCATTTATTTAATGATTCATTGAGTCTTTTGTTAAATATGCATTTTTTTGCATTCAGCTGTTCATTCATTTAGAGGTTAATTCATTTGTTTATTTATCAGTCATTAATTTGTTCGTTCAGACAAGCATTTGTTCATTTATGCATTCATTCAATTGTTCATTCATGCATTTTTTAATTCATTCAATCGATGATTTATTCCTTCATTCATGCATTTTTTTAGTTATTCATTTAATGAATCATTGACTCATGCATTTTTGTCATTAATTCAATCAAAGATTCATTCATTCGTTTATTTATCGGTCATTAATGTGTTCATTCAGTCATGCATTTATTCATTTGTTCATTGATGCATTCATTCCGCCGTTCATTCATGTTTTTTTTTATTCAACTTTCATGCATTTTTTTTTAATTCATTCAAATTATTCCTTTATTAATGCATTTTTATTTCATTCAGTTAATGAATCATTCATCCATTCATGCATTTTTTCACTAATTCAATTAATGGTTCATTCGTTCATTCCATCAATCAACCAATCTGTGAATCATTCTGTTCATTCAGTGATTCATTGATTCTTTTGTTCATTCAACTGTTCATTCATTTATTCATTTTTTTCATTCAGTGTCTATTTAATTTGTTAATTCATCTGTAATTTGTTAATTCCCTCAAGCATTCATTCATTTGTTCACTGATTCAATGGTTCATTCATTCATGTGTTTTGTTCATTCATTCAATCAATGATTCACTGATTCCTTCCTTCATTTATTTTCTGTGCATGCATTCAATCAGTCGTTAAATCATTGACTCATTAATGCAGTCAGTCATTTATTTGACTGTATTTATTACTTCTTTCATTCATTTATTAGTACCTCTGCCCATTCTGTGGATCCCAGCAGGCCAAATTCTTCTGCGTCCCAACTGGCAAAGATCAGCGTTCTCCTTGGCCTCCAACCTAAAACACACACAGAGTATGATCATCTTAATTAAAACAAGACTAAGATCAAAACACCTGTACAGTTACGCATTAAACTAGACCACACACACCTTTCTTCATGAGTTTTCCAGCTGCTCTCACGCTCTCGTGCACCACAGCAGCTCCTGACACCGGATCGATCCCCCCGAACACCCAAGCGTCACGATGACCGCCCAGAATCACGTACCTGTCTGAACACACAAAACCAAACTCGACTAGACATAATAAAACAAAACTTCACAAACTCTCAAACAGTGTGAACACAACTCCAAAATAAAACCAGATAAGCAGATGTCACCTGGCTCCACCGCTCCTCTGATCCAGCCAATCACGTTGTAGATACGGGTCACCTGATTGTTTGTGTGGATGTTCATACGCACTTTACTAAAATTTCACCAAGACAAAATTCAATAAGGAATCAATACTTTCTAGTCTTTTACTTTACACTGCATGCATACATGGATAAAAGCATCTGCCAAATGCATAAATGTAAAGACAGCCAGTTAAGGAGAGAGATGGGCTCCCCAAACAAAAGGACTTTGTATCAAACTGGCAGACCTCCAGAGTTCATTACAGAACAACAACAGAGCCACAGAAGTGTGTGTGTGTGTGTGTGTGTGTGTGTGTGCTGTGGGAAACAAATGTGTGTCATCCCTCTTTGAGAACTCTGAGTGTACAAATCTCTCAGTCCTGCACGAATATGTTGAGTGTAAACTGATTATGATTGTGTAAAGCTTAAGTCACGCTTCATAACAGCAGGGTCATAGGTTTTGGGGTTAAAGGTCAGGATTGGGCTGGATTTAATGTTCAGATTGAGGTTTTGACTTTGGTTTGGAATAGATAACTGTCTGACTGACTGAACATGAAATCGCTGTTTACATCTTTAACAAACATCCCTGATCTGACTGTGCATGATTCATCAGAGCACATCATTCAGCAGAGAATGATTTTGTAATGTTTCATCGAAATGTAATAACATTTCTAATCATATCCCACATTTAATAATGCAATCATGTCATTTTACCACTAAATATTCTACTTAGAAATCTGTCATATTAGAAATCAAATGCATTGCAAGGCAAGACACCACAGGTGAAGATTTTGACTAATATCGTCGTATTCCACCATATACACCATATTTCTGACGTTATGTTTAAATATGTTAATGAGGCACGATTTAATGAAATATGCAATATTTGAATCAGTTTCCAGAATAGAACATTGGATAAAAACCAGGTTTGACATTTTTGCAGAGGATTTCTTTTTTTATCACTCTATGCATGTAATATTTCTGACTCAGCCTTTACAGATATGTATTGTATTTTAAATCTACAGACGCAAATAGATAAAGTGCATTAAAATAAACACTTAAATGTGTATTTTCTCTCCACTAGTCTGAAAGAAGACTTGTTGTGGAAGCAAAAATGACCAGTGCATGCCTGCAGTGTCTTGCCGTAAAAGATCAAATGGAGCTTTATTATGGATTTGCAGAAGTATTTGTCAGGAAGAAAGTCTCATACTTCTGATTAAAACCATCCATGAATCCCGGTCCGATTCGGTACGAGACATTAAGGGCACCTTTCCAGTTATCCGGCGGAAGAGGCCCTCCCATATGCCTATAGAAAGAGACATTATATAATTATATAATTGCAATTTTAAATCAATAATTTTTATAGTTTTCAAATATTTAATAATATATTTAAATTATTTAATAATATTATTATTATTATTTATGATATTATTGAATGGGGAAAAAGAGTGTCCTAAGCTGATCGCATGCTTGATTTAACATGGATGCATGTTATAATTATTATTAAATATTATTATTATTATTCAAAATTATTTTCAATTATAACAATTAAATAAAAATACAGTATATTTCTTTATTCCTATATAATATTAAATATAATGTATATATTTTTTAATATATAAAGAAATATACAATTGCAATAATACTATTGCTCCATACAAAAATAGTATTTTTGTATATTAATAATAATATTTATTGCATAATTTCTATTTATTAGAGTTGGTCTCAAATGTTTTTAGCAGTGGCCGACTCACTGCAGCAAGTGAACCGCATCATGATATCCGATGGGATGCACTGGAATCTTGGGAAGCCCCACTGCATCCTCCAGACTAGATCTGTAGGTGTATTCTACGAGACATTCAAGAGACACAATGATCAAGACTGTAATCTCACGGAGAATCTCTCTGTGGCACAAGCACAGACCTTTGGCAGGGTATCCAGGTGTGAGCGGGTCTCCCGCCCCGTTCAGATTCAGCACGTTTCCTCTCTGAGCGCCTCCTCCTGGCAGGTTCCAGCCGTCGGGATACGGCTCCACGCCGTCCGCACAGTAATCCGCAGGGTCCGAGAACAGCACGATCCCTTTAGCTCCTGCTAACATCGCGTTCTTCACCTGCAAACTAGTTCACTCAAACGTCGTTCCATGCACACAATATTTTCTTTCTTATGTGAAACATAAATCTCGTTAAACATCACGTCCAAACTACTGAAACCTCACCTTGTTCCCACGGAAGATTTTGCCATATCTAGCGATGACAATTTTTCCTGAACAGTTTATTCCCAACTCTCTCTGCAGCTTAACGAAATCCTCCGTCCGTCCATAATTAACATAAACCAGCTCATCCTACAGTTCACAAAAATCAGATTCCTTTTACTTCTGTAAAGTTAAAGTACAATACTGTTCAAAAGCGGTCTGTAATATTTTTTTATGTTGTGGAAAGAAGACTTTTATGCTCACCAAGGCTGCATTTATTTGATCAAAAATACAGTAAAATTGTGAAATATTATTTCAATTTAACATAACTGTTTTCTATGTGAATATCTGTTAAAATGTCATTTATTTCTATGATCAAAGCTGAATATTCAGCATCATTACTTCAGTCTTCAGTGTCACATGATTCTTCAGAAATCATTCTAATATGCTGATTTGCTGCTCAAGAAACATTTCTCTTTATTATTATTATTATTAGAAAGTTCGAAAGATCAGCATTTATTTGAAAAAGAAATCCTTTGAAACATTATAAATGTCTTTACTGTCACTTTTGATCAATTTAATGCATCCTTGCTGAATAAAAGTATTAATTACTTTGAAACAGACGCCAAACTTTTAAATAGCAGTATAAGTAATAAATTGGATGTAATATTATGAAGACAAACGTTTTACACTGATTAATCCAGCACAGTAAGCCCAGGATCATGCATTGAGACCGTAAACAGTCTGTTGACTGTAAATTAGCATGTGTCAGTATTTGGCTATGTGTGCATCACCTCTGGCTGTCCTTTCGCAGAGAAAGCACTATAAGGAGGGACGATATCGGTAACATCTTCATAACCTTCAGGGACCGGCTCAGCCAGAGAGGTGTTAAAGATCTGAGACAAAGAAAGTGACATGTTGACCTCTATTATTTATTATATTATTATTTATTATGCACTGCAATCACTATAAAACATCCATAGACACAGTCATGGACTTTAACCTGTCACCATGGCAACCATGCTTGAGCCGTTAATCGCAGCCTCACTAGTGACAAGACAAATGACCTTAAAGGAACACTCCACTATTTTTGAAAATAGGCTATTCAATGATCTATGCTAAGCTAAGCTAAAAGTGCTACCGCCAGACCCGGAGATCGGCTGAATGGATTCGAAAACGGTAAAACTCAACTGTTTAACTATAGGGGAGTCGGAAAATGAGCCTATTTTCAAAAATAGTGGAGTGTTCCTTTAAAAACACACACAGACACACACCAAATCTTCTGATGTCATGAGAGAAACAACAGACCCACACTCTACAGGTTCAGTTTTGAACCCTCTTCATGATCTAGAACCATTTTTGGTTGTTTAAGGGTCTTGAGTAGCTTTCAGGATTAAAAAAAAGTCACGTTATATGTTCCTCAGATCATTGTTTTGGTGTCTTGAAAGCACATAGACGGTTTACTATAGAACTAGAGAATATACTAGTTCTTAGTTCTACTTAGTCTACTTAGTACTTAGTTCTATAAGAGGATTTAAACAAATGGAATTTTGTTCTAAAAGAGTGCAGATGTGTCTGGTCTGAAGAAGTGCATGTGGTTTTGCAAACTAAGTGCACTTCATAGAGTATGCAAACTATTGGTTGACGGATAAGGGTTTTGCAATGTCTGTTGCAACATCTAGAAGAAAGGATGTCCTTTATATCTACAGAAGAATTGCCCAAATTAACACTTCATTTATATTTTATGCAATTACTGATTGATCCGGAAAGTGTATACAGTCACTAATAATTTCAGATTCTCCAAGAAGAAGCCTTGTTTGTGTGTGTTTGGGTTCTGGTTGTCAGTATGTACCTGATTTCCCAGGTGGTCCACTATGGAGATGTAATTGGGGTTTGTTTTATTTGGGTATGACAGCAACACATCGTACGGCACCAGCTCCACTGAGTCCAGCCCAAACTCCATCCACTCGGCCCGGATCTGCTCCGCCAGATCCAGATTCTGCTGCGTTCCAGCCAGGTGGGGCAGCCTTGTGAACTTCCTGTTTAGGTGAGAAACATGAATTATGACAGACATACTCTAGATCTGGAGAGGACAACTAGGTTAGCAGGCTGTATGTTTGAGAGTGGCATGCAGAGCAGATATGCACTTCAAGGAATAGTTGACCCAAAAATGAAAATTGGCTGAAAATGTACTCACCCTCAGGCCATCCAAGCTTGTTTGTTTCTTCATCAGAGCAGATTTGAGGAAATTCAGCATTAAATTGCACTTGCTCACCAGTGGATGCTCTGCAGTGAATGGGTGCCGTCAGAATGAGAGTCCAAACGGCTGATAAAACATTACAATAATCCACACAACTTCAGTGCAAACTGTTCATAATCCATAATAACCCATCCTCCAGTGAAAAAGTTCTCCTCTCACATCAAAATCCACCCACATATTTGTTTAGGAGTGTTTTTGGCTTGTAAACGGTGCTTGCTCTGTGCAGATTTCTCTCCTGATTCAGATCAGACCACTTTTACACCGGAGAAAGCAATATTGTGGATGGACTGGAGTGGTGTGGACTACTTGTGGATTATTGTGATGTTTTGGACTCTCATTCTGACGGCACCCATTCACTGCAGGAGGGTCCACTGGTGAGCAGGTGATGTAATGCTACATTTCTCCAAATCTGTTCTGATGAAGAAACAAACTTGTCTACATCTTGGATGGCCTGTGATTGAGTAAAGTTCCAGCGAATTTTCATTTTTGGGTGAATTACTACTTTAAAAATATCATTCAATAACGTCAGGATTATTTAAAATATAAATATATATATATAATTATTTAGGGCATGTAAACAGCTAGGCAGCGTTTTCCCACCTGAGATGGTGTTTAATATTCTCTGCCTGCATCTCATCTAGAAAGTCGTGCAGGAAGCTTTTTGATACATGTCCATGATTGACAGTAGTAGGTCGAGCAAACCAACCTGAGAACAGCAGTTATGAGAAACAGACACCTGTTACACCAAACCACGTCTGAGAAATATTAGTGATTAATCTGCACAGGAGCAAGAAATGATGAATTCTGACAGGTAATTGCCTAAAAGTGTCCAATATCACAAATGCAATAAAGTATTTTTGAAAACAACAATAAACATAAAGCGATCAAAACATTCAGGGTTCCTACAAATGATATTGAATGAATGTCCATGACTTTGTCCATGCAGATGTGGTTAATATCCGAACATTAATAGAAAAAAAATGACATTGAAAAAAATAAATTTCCATTACTATTAAAGATTAGAACGTGTTAAAATTCTCTGATATTTTCAGGTTTCCCATAATTGTGTAACACATCATTCTTCTTCAAGATTATCTTCTTCATATCTCCTTCAAAATTAGCTTCTTCAAGAGTGTAAACATTCATATCCAAAATAAAAACCTAAAGAAGTAAATGGGGTCTCAGTATAGTCACACCTGTCCTGAAGGCATTCAAGACCTGTGGAATGCAGCGCGTGAGATCTGGACAGGTGAAACCAACAGGTATCAAACACCTGAATTTGTTTTTGACCATAAGCAACGAAGAGCAAATAAATTTAATGCTGTTAATGCTGAATCTGAAGGCTCCCAGTATTTAATAACTTTGACTAATTTAACAAATTTATCAACTATCTTCTGGCTAAATTATGCGCAGTGGACAGTCTAATACAACTGGACTAGTTGCAGTATGGCATTGCAGATAATTATAAATATTTTTATAAAGGTAGAGAAACTCACCAATAATAAAGCCAATCAAGAAGAAAGCCGTAATAGCCGTTAACCGGCAGATCCAGCGGATTAATTTATCCTCAGATCCCATTTGGTTAAGCGCCGCACATAACGCGTTGAAAGTTGGCGAAATAGTTCTAGGAGGAGAGAAATGTAGGCGGGTCTTGGCTGGCTTGTGTTCATTGCAGCGAATTGGTTCGTTTGAGTGAAAATGATTCACCAATTCGCTTGATTTATTAAGCAACATAAAAGTTGCCATGCAGCATTTTACGCGTTCCTTCTGAAAACAAACTAGCCTACTTAAGCTAGACTAATCTGGTTTGTTCTCCCAAAATGGCCAAAACTCTTCTAAGCTATCAAACCCTGACCATTTGAAACCAGTTTGGTGAGCAGAACACTCGCGTTTAACTGGTGTTATTTTCAGAGACTTCTATTTTTCACTCTTAAATAATCACATTGATTCAGTTACATTGATTGATACAGACGGTAATTTTTTGTATTATTCCAACAAATGGCCGAACGTTGTACTCTAAAAGTGGCTGACATGCAATAGATGGCGCCGTTGGCCCATGTTTGATTCATTTTATCTGACACCAGGGTGCTACTTAAACCCCTCAAAGAAACAAATGATTGGGTCCTTATACGTGTATTTAAATAAAATAAAATTTAAATAAATAAATAAAGTTTCAGTAGCCACAAAAAGAAAAGAAAATAGATACAAAGTTAACAAAGAAGTCTTGAAAAGAAGAAAGAAATCTAGCAGCTGCATTTTGGACTAACTTTAACTTGTTTATTGAAGATGCAGGACAACCAGCTAGTAGGCTAATGCATTACAGTAATCCAGTCTAGAGGTCATGGATGCATGAACTAGCTTTTATGCGTCAGAAACAGATAACATATTCTGTAGCTTAGCAATGTTTCTGAGGTGGAAGAAGGCTGTTTTTGTAACATATGAAATATGATTTTTGAAAAAAAAAAAAAAAAGATGTCTAATATAACACCCAGGTCTTTAACTGCAGATGATGACATAGTATCCTAGTTGCAAACTGTATTCTAAGATATCCTGTGTGCGGGTTTTTGTTCCAAAAAGTAATACCTCAGGTTCAGTCTTGTCTGAATTTAATAGGAGAAAATTACTGGTCATCCAGTGTTTTATATCTTTAGATTTTAATACATTCTGTCAACTTGTACAGTTTAGAAATTTCATCTGGTCGTGATGACATATATAACAGAGTATCATCGGCATAGCAGTGGAAACTAATTCCATGTTTTCTAATAATGTTGCCAAGTGGCAGCATGTTTATTGAAAATAACAGAGGGTCTAACACGGATCCTTGCGGCACCACATATCCCAAGTAAATAATAAGACAAGACTTTAGTGTTTTTACTCCTCAATTTAGCTTTCAGAAAGTATTTCATTCCTAATTCTATATGTATTATCATGTTAAAAGTAAATAAATATTATAAAACTAGATTAAGTAGATAAAAAATCATCAAGACTTAATGTTGCCTTAAGAAAGCCTGACCAGAAAAGTTTGAAGTAGATAGATAGACAGGTAGTTTGTCGATATCATTTAAAAAAAAAAATGTCATAAAAACACTTTGTGTATTTGCTCTATAAATTAAATCTAATGTTATTTTTTATTAGAAGTAGTAGAAAACACTCATTATTTTTTATTACCCAGGGGCCAGTTGCATAACCATAGTCACCACTTTAAGACTGTGTCTTAAGAACTAGTTTGACTAACTAGCAGTTAACCAAGTGGTTATCAGTATAACTTTTCAGATTCAAATTTGATCAATCACATACGTCTGCAAGATGTATGTTAAAGATGGCTTCATCTGGAAAGCATCTGCTGTGTACAAACATCTGACAGACGTCTTTAAGATGTCAGTTTTACACACATTCTAAATCATAAACATCTTAAAGACATCTTCTAAACGTCTATTTGACATCTGATAGGAAACGTCCTATAGAGGTATTGCAGATGAGCAAACACTCTAAAAAATGTCTTGCAGACGTCAAATAGACGTCTCCATGATGTACGTGCCCTGATATCAGGGCGTTTTTATGTAACTGACTTTAAAAAGTTATGACCAGTCTTGCAGAAAAAAATTAGGTGTCTAACTTTTAAGACTAGTATAAGCAGTTTGCAACCGGCCACAGCAGGATTCACTCGACAGGATTTCAGTCACGGCGAGGTCCCAAACCGGGCGTTTGGTGGGAGGCGCGTGATATGGAACATGAGCGGCACGCGGAGTCCCGGAGAAGCCGGCGGGATAAGCGTCACGGCACCAAGAGTATTGTGCTGAATTCTGCACCCCTGCCAGATTATGCACCCCTTCGTTGAAGTCACTACCTGATTGCCTAATCCCAACCCCACCCCTAATCCTAAACCCTCCCCCACACCTACTCCTAAACCTACCAAGACTAGGGGGTGCATAATTAGCGTCGCGGTGCGTGTAGAGCGCGCGCGAGAGAATCATGAGCGTCGCGCTGAAGAGCTGGAGGGCTAATGAAGGACCCAAACACTTGATCACGGTGAGAGAAGAGATTAACTCAACCGCTTACTGTTGTCACAGTATCCATACTGGCTCGTGCATCGAGTTGTCTGAGTTTGAGATGCTGTCAGTTAGACTGTTGTGTTTTTATTGTTTTGGGCAGATGGTTTGGATTGCAGTGAATGTATTTCTGTTCTGGAAAACATTCATGTTGTACTTCAGCGGAGCGCAGTATTATTATCTACACAAGATGCTGGGGGTAAGAACTTGAGTTTATGTGTCAAGTTGTATTTTCAAGTTTAGGGTGTGTGAGTTAAAGGTCTGTACGTCTAGAGATGATAAAGTTTGTTTATTTTTTATAGTGTAATGTATATATTTTGAGTTTGTTTTAGACTTTAACCTTTGTGTTTGTGTGTAGCCATTGAGATATGAGTTTGACAGGTGTGTTATTGTGTAGAGTTTGAGTTATGTGTGTTTGCATTTTACAGTATGAGATGTGTGTGTGTGTGTGTGTGTGTGTGTGTGTGTGTTTGCATGTACAGATGATGTTTGTGTTTTTGTGTGTTGCTGTGAGATGGACAGGATTTCCACAACACTCCTAAGTGAATCAGGGTAATTGTTGTCACAGGTTATTGTTTAATGTCCTGGAAAGATGCTGCACAGGGACACACAACTTTCCGAAAACAGACCACACTTGTGTTAGCTAAGACTTTTACACGTTTATTCCAGAATTGGACAATTGCAGCAGTTGCAAACTGTCTGTGTGTCTGTGTGTGTGTGTGAGCTGCAGTCCTTCATATGTAGCAGGGCTGTTGTGTTTCTGTATAGAGCTGAACAGGCGTGTAACAACTCGCTCACCTCTGTACAGGAAACAATGATCAAACGCCACTGCAACTCACACACACATACACCAACACCCGCAACATGATTGAATTTTTTTAAATGTTATTTTAATTTTCATTCTCACACAGTATGAATTAGTTTTAAAATATATGACTGCCTTTATATTTCAGGAACGGCATCTTTCGTGTCATTTTCAGGGTCCTTGGCATTAAAAAGTGTAAAAACACTTGCTCTAACCCATGTGTATGTGTTTCTTCAGCTTGGTCTCTGCATCAGTCGAGCGTCGGCCTCCGTTTTAAACTTCAACTGCAGTCTGGTGCTGCTGCCAATGTGCAGATCGCTGCTTACCTTCCTCCGAGGATCTCAGCGGGTGAGACTTTGAGAAATTCGTATATTTATGCATTTATGCCAAGTCTGTGCGGTCGCATAAATGCACATTGCATATATGCTGCTTCAGATGCTGCGTTTGCAGTGTAAAGATGTCAAAAGTCTCAAAGACATGTTGCTGCCATGCTGAATGAGGGTTGTTTTGACTTTCTGACTCTTTTTCTTTCTGTCAGGTGACCGGTAGACGTGTTCGTCGGCTGCTGGATAAGAGTAAGACGTTTCATGTGGCGTGTGGAGTCACAATTTGCGTCTTCTCTGGTGAGAAACTGATCTGTGATCAGATCAGAAACACTCAATAGCGACCATAGTTTGTGTAGTTTCAGCATAGTCTGGTCAGCTAGCTTATTCCGCACACATAGACAGGAAGAGAGCATCTGACTGACATGAAGTGACCAGCCACAGGTTGCTTGTTGAAATTGAAAACTGAGAACAGTTATGCTGCAAAATATCTAGTTTACTTGCTGTAAGGTGTCTAAAGATCAAACTTTAATGCCAAGAACCTACAAACTTTGTTAAATCATGCGACTACTTCCTCAGAAGCGTTATTGTAGCAGCCTGGAAACATTTTTAACATGATTTTCAAGTCAGAAAATCAGATGCAACTTGTCATTTTGAGAAAGCTCTTTCCATTTTTGTACAGTATGCATCAGATGGTTCATAAACAGACCAAACAGACTCCAGAACAATGAGAAAGACCACGCAGACAGACAGCAGATTACACTCACTTCACGGGGGAGGAAGAACAGATTACTTAGGTTGAGTCACTAGTCTGTCTGAAAGCACTCTTTGTGTGTATTTATGTGTGTATGTTGCATTATTATAGTAAAGTAAAACAATAAAAAAAATAATTTTCATTACTGGGAATAAAATAGTTAACTAAATAAACTGAAATTCACTTAAAATAAAATATAAACAATTATGCTTTTTTCACTCTAAAACTGAGGTGCATAAACTCAGGTTAATGATGCCTACGACCTAAAACTTCCAAAAATAAGTACAAAACCTGTGCTAATTGAAAGAAAACAAGTTGACAAAAAGATTGAATCCAAGATTTGGTGATAATACAGCATCATGACAGATTTACAAGCAACTTTTTAAAAGGCTGGTGATTTTTGACTGGGAAAAAGTCAATATTAAGTGGCCCTAATACCTGTGTACTTGCATAGTAACTAGATGTGTACGTAGTATGTAACCACAGTGTAAGTACACATTGGTACATAGTATCTACAGCTGTAATATTTCTGTAACTACACACATGTAACAACCCTCCGAATGGTTTGTGTAAGTACAAATGTGTAGCAGGACATATATAATTACATTTTGTAACAGCAATATATATAAGAGTAATTGGAACAATTTGATCCAGGGGGTGGAGATGGGTAGGTTTAGGGATATGTAAAGTGGGAGGAGTTGGATCTCAAGTTGGTGGAGTTGGTGCACCACTGTAATACCAGTGTACTTACATGGTAACTCCTCAGGAACTGTCGACTTATTATAAAGTGTAACATTCTGGACACCAACCACAATTTAAATGTAAAGCCTAACTTACTGGCCGCTGCTGTGTAACATCAGAGTAATTATGTTACAGCTGTTGCTGTTAGCCCTGTTACACATTTGTACTTTCATTACCAAAAAGCATTGTTACCCATGTCCTGTTACACATTTGTACTTACACATACCATTCAGTGGGTTGTTACATATGTGTAGTTACACAAACATTAGAGCTGTAGATACTATGTACCAATGTGTACTTACACTGTGGTTACATACTATGTACACATCTAGTTACTATGTAAGTACACAGGTATTAGGGCTACTTAATATAAAGTGGGACCCATTTTTATATTTTCATTTCAGTTACAGTTTTTGTGTGTTTTTATATTTTTTTAAATATGTTTTATATATATATATATATATATATATATATATAATTTTTATTCTAGTTTTAGTTATTGTAGTATATTAATATTCACTCAAAAAATGAGGTGCATAAGCTCAGATCAATGAGGCCTATGATCAATCAGTTTCAAAAGGAAATACAAAAACTTGCGTTAGAAAACAAATTGACAAAAAGATTGAATCCAATTTTTGATAATAATATAGCATAATGAGAGATTTACAAGCATTCTTTGGCCATTTCGACTGAGCACCACAATCCCCAAAACATACAAATATTATCCACTTTTTTTTTTTTTTGGAGAAGTTGTTATACCCCATGTGAGCAAAGTCAGTAAGTTTGAGATTACATTATCTAGCATTTTTTGGAGAAAGAAAATCCTCTCTGGGTCAAAATAACCAGAACATGAACCAACATGAAGGCCAATTCAAAATATATATAACAACTACGACATCTACTAAAATAACACTGGTATGTTGCTGTCTGAGAGTTTGACCTGGTAAGTAACTCCGTCTAGTGTTGCACTGACAGGCTAGACGGCTTCGCTGGCCAACAAATGTGTGTGTGTGTGTGTGTGTGTGTGTGTGTGTGTGTGTGTGTGTGTTTAGAACACAGGAATATCCCGAGGGATTCCCAGCTGGTTTTATCTTGTGTCTGTGACCCCCCCATTTCCTGTCTCAGTGCATTGTGGTCTTGTTCTAATTACAGAGCTCTGAGGCATCCCGTTACCGTGACGACTGCAACACACAATCACACACAAGAGAGCTGCTGAATAGACAAATTGTCTTCCACACATGCTTGACGTATGCTGTCATTGTGTGTGTGTTTTGTGTGAGTTGATGATGTTTATGTGTTTGTTGGTGTTTCTGTCTGCAGTGGTTCATGTGAGCGCTCACCTCGTAAACATGGTCAGTTTCTCTGTGAGATATTCAGAGGATTTCCCTGCGCTCAATGTCGCTCAGTATCGAGGACAGGTAACACACACAGACATTTACATGAACATCTTCTGTGTTTGGAAAAATGTTTTTGCAAGAGCGTAGGTTTGATTTTGGCATTGATGGGGACATAACAGCAGACAACAGATATCTTATTGTTTGATCAAAATTATTGCTAAGGACAATTTAGGAGATGCTGGATATTGGTAGGGACATGTCAGCGTCCTTACTAAATTCTACGCCCTTGTGTTTCTGAAAGAAGTCCCTTCTGCTCAACAAGGCTGCATTTATTTGATCAAAAATACATCCATTCTTCATTACTCCAGTCTTCAGTGTCACATGATCTTCAGAAATCATTCTAATATGCTGATTTGCTGCTCAAGAAACATTTCTGATTTTTATCAATGTTAAAAACAGTTGTGCTGTGTAATATTTAAAACTGTGTTAATAATATGTTTTTCTCTCTTTAGGATCCCAGAATTCTCATCATAAGCACAGGTGACTCACCTTTCTAAATCTCCCTTCTGTACTTCCGCATCAGCGTTTTGTGTTTAATATAGTGAAACCGAAATTATGACGTGTAATGTAAGATGATTAATTGAAAAGCCTGTGGACACATTCTTCTAACTGTGTCAAATTTGTTTCCTTTTATTTTGTGTTTAAAGGGGTCACATGATGCTGTTAAAAAGAACATTATTTTGTGTATTTGGTGTAATGAAATGTTTATGCGGTTTAAGATTAAAAAAATGCGTTATTTTCCACATACTGTACATTATTGTTTCTCCTCTATGCTCCGCCTTTCTGAAACGCGTCGATTTTTACAAAGCTCATCGGTCTGAAAAAGCGAGGTGTGCTCTGATTGGCCAGCTATCCAGTGCGTTGTGATTGGCTAAATACCTCAAGCGTGTGACGGAAATGTTACGCCCCTCACCATACTGTGATGGAGCGACGAGACAAAACCAGTAAAACATTTGTGCATCCAGTGGGGACATAATTACGGATTATAATGACTTATACTGTCTTTTTACACGTTGCGTTGCACCGTGCGGCGTAAACATAAAACCATGTCTGCATTTGTGATCGGAGAAATGACAAACAACAAGCGCTACTGTACACTGCCCAAAAAAACTCGCTTAAAATATATAAAATATAAAAACTCTTTAAATATAAAAA